TGGGGAAAAAATAAGAACCAAGATGCATCATGTAAAGGTACAAGTTCCCAATGAGAAATGTAACAATGTTGTATGCCTAAAATGTACCAATAAAAGAATTTAAGAAAAAAAAAATAAGATAGAGATAGAATTGGGGGAGAAGCATAATGCTACTACTTAGCAGTTTTTATTTATAAATGTGGAGTTATTTTGTTTTGATTTTGGTTTTCTGAGAGAGAGTATGTAGACCAGGATGGACCTGAACTCATGGTGATCCTCCGCCTTAGCCTCAGGAGATCACAGGACTGTGGCACCATGCCCAGTTTATGAATGTGTTCTGTCTTTTTTTATGAATGTGTTTTTAAAAGTAACTTTTTCTTTTCTTTTTGTTTTTGTATTTGAGTCAAGGTCTTGTTATGCAGTTCAGGCTGGTCTTGAACTTACTATGTAGCTGAGACTGGCCTTGACCTCTCAGCGATCCTCCTTCCTGCCTCAGCCTCACGAGTGCTAGGAGTGCACCACCAAACCCAGCAAAGTATCTTTTTCATATACATTTAGTAATTTGTATATCTTTAATGAAGCATCTATTCAAATTCTTCCTAATTTTAAATTGGAAGGCTTATCTTTCTATTGTTAATTATAATTCTTTATACTGTCTGGATAAACTATATCCTTTAGCAGATAAATGTTTTGTGAATATTTTGTCCCAGCCTGTAGTTTACTTATTCATTTCCTTAATGATTTCTTTGTCTTTTGAAGAGCTGAAAGTTTTAATTTCAATGAAGTCTACTTTACATGATGGCAAATTTAACCTAGCCACAATCATACTAAACATTCAACTTTGTATCCTGTTTTTTATAACTCTTAATAGCAGTGGTACCTTGGTTCACAAACTTAATTCTTTCCATGATTCTGGCTGCAAACTGATTTGGACAAGAACCAAATCAACAGGTTCAATGTTGACCTATGATAGGAAGATAAGAGAGGGAATGTGTGCTAACAACAGACATGTCACCATTTATCGCCACACAGAAGGGACCCTTCAAGATGGGAAGACAGAAATCTGGAGGCAGAAACTGAGTTGCCAGAGGGGACACGGCTCATTCCTTAGTGTCTAAATCGGGTTTTTGTTTTGTTTTTTTTCTGCTCCCAATACCATTTATCTTTGTTGTACCACGTTAACACTTCCAAAATCTCAAAATAAAATTAAAGGTAGCAAGCCATTAGTATTACTATTTTAATGTGCAAAATTATACCACTTAGCTTGATTCAAAATGTTGTTCACCAACAATGCATTTCCTTATCAATGGCTCTGAATTTCCACAGGCATGAGCTAGTGTTTTCAGCTGTACAATTGCTGACATACACATAAAATAATATTCAATTATAGCTGCTTTTCAAAGCCAAGTTATAATTATTAACCTGATAAATTTTATTTGACTCTCAAATATCACAACAGATTAATGATTAAGTCATGTCTACTTGCTCTGTGCAAATATCATAATATACCACACACTAAGCTGCCAAAATTGCATTAAAATCTCTTTGCAAAAAAAACAAACATACACATCTTTTTAAAAAATGAAATACTAGCACTATATAATAACTGCCTGACAACACCATTACATCTAACAATTATAAAACTTAAATCATTCCAACTTTAGGAATTACAATTTGATGAGATAATTATTTTCTGAAGCATAATGTCCATGAGTTCCAGGGCACTTATGATTTGGTCTTCCTGTTCTATATTCTGGCTCCTCTCTGAGCATGGACAGCATCACACTCATAAAATAAGTCACAATGGGAAAAACATTCAGAGTTCACAGTTGTTCAAACTCACTGCTGACTCATTTGTCCCTTGATAACTGAATCTTTCTTTACTAAATTTAATTACAGCCATCTTGGAGGAGAAGAAGGACAAGCTACTAAAGAATGTAGGAGAAAAGGAAGCCCAGTGCTATAATACAGTAAAGCAGGTGCCATAAGGGAAGGCTGAGGTCACAATATGGGGCATTTGAAAGGGCCTCCTGAGGTGACACTGATGCAGGGAGCTGATGACAAGTGGGACCCAGCCTGGAATGAGGGTGGGAACCGAACAGAACAGAACTAAACCGCACAGCAGGGAGAAACATCAACTGCCTGGGAGTTCAGTCAAAACTGTTTTCAGTCCAGGAAGAAGTTAGAATTGGGGCCAGTGTGGCAGGAGACCATTCAGGAGGAGAGGAGAGGACGGAGGGACAAGGGCAGAGGCAAAATTTCAGCCTGCAGGCAGCATCACTGACCCCCAGCTGTGTGAAAACAGGAGCCCAACACAGCAGATACAACCACAACCATTTGTTCTCTCACAACTTCTGAGAACTGGGAACACAGGAAGCTCAGCTGGGGTGCGGTCTCAGTGGAGACCCCTCTCTGGCAGGATCTGCTCTCAGGCTCAGTCCCTGGCTTTTTGCCAGGATCGGGAGACACCTGATAGCCTTCTCTCTGCTATGCTCACTCAGCCCTAACAAACAGGAGTCTCTCCTTAGGGAGCCTAGTAATGTCATCAGATGCAAGGGGTCCACCTCCCAGCAGAGAATGAATCAGCAAAGTACACCAAGCACAGGAGTCAAACAGAACCAAACGTATTTATTTGCCACAAGTAAGGAGGCCACCAGGAGTCACTCCCAAGCTGTGACTTCGGAGGCAGGGTAAGCTTCAGCTTGTTGAGGACGGAAAGGCATTACACATGTAGGGGTGGGGAGAGCCCAGCACAGGGAGTCTGACGACACGCTCCTTCACACTCACCATGTGATGGGAACGAGACATCACTCTTCACTGGGTGGAGACTTTGGAATTACAGCTAAATCCTGACTTACAAACATTCAAGTTGCGAACTTTCACAGGTGTAATGTATGAGACTCATTTTGCTGGACATGCACAAATCCAATTTACAAATGTTTCCTGGGAATGGAATTCGTCTGTAAGTTGAGGACTTACTTCGTAATGAAGTAGGGTCACCTCTTGGTCACTGGCACCTGTTCCTTAGGGTTGCCTGTGGAACATTACTTTCAAAAAACAGCTTCAAGATTTGTAACCAAAACAGCTTTACTGGGGTTCAGGGTCTGAGTGGGAGAAAATGCAACCCTTACTTTCCCACACTACTGAACAGGACAGAATACCCACCTCCTGCTTTCTCGGCGTGTTTCCCAGCCAACAAATTCCTCCTGGAACATGTTAGTCCTACTCCTTGATGTCAATGCAACTGCTTATTGCTGAATGGGGATCCCTCTAGAGGAGTAAAAGTCTCCAGCTGCTAGCAAAGAAAGGTTTGTTGATGCTCTGGGAAGCCCCAGTCAGTCTGTATCCTGAGCAACTGCCACTTGGATTTTAATGTGTCTATGACTAACAAGACACGAGCCTGATAAGGATGCACCACCGTCCAATGATCAGCAGTACCAGGAGAGTATAAGAGTCCCATGCGTTACAAAACATATGAACCATGGTAAGACATAAAAGAGCACAAGTGGAGAAGATCAAAACCATATAAGTGAACAGACCAACCAAGAGAGCAGGGCAAAGCTCATCTCAAGTTTTGGAAGAGCAGCTTTAGATCTGAGAGGGGGTCACAGATCCCTTTATGCCATGTCTTCTGGTTAAGCAGCAGGCTTTACCAGGAGCATAGACTCAAGGTGCAACTCCCTGAAGTTTAAAGGACTAATACCAGGTCAGGTTCCACCCATTTAGGGCTTAGTTGATTCCTAGGGCATCATGCTTTTTCAGTTTTTAAGTATACCCATTTCCCTGGCTCATCTGGGTGTAATTTAATCTCAGTTGGATAGGGAAGTATATACTTACCATAACTAGTTAAAGCTTGAACTACCTGGCTCCAGCTGGTAATATGGAAAAATGCCTGTTCAGTCTCAGGGGTAGGTTGAGCCCTAATACTGCCCTTTCTGCAAACTGGCATCCATACAGCATCTTGATTCATTTTGTTTCCTTTGGGTTGGGGGGGTGCTAGGGATTGAACCCAGGGCCTTGTGTCACTAAGCTATATTCCCAGCCACTCACATAACATCTTAAATGTGCTGAGTTTTAATTTGCCTGCTGGGGCTGCCTTGACTCATATTAGGGCCAACACAGCACCTTGACCCAACCTTCTGCAGCTAGCTCCTGCCCCATACCTCCCCTTCCTGACCCTTGCTGTTGCACTTTTTAAAAATTTCTACCTTTATTTCCCCATTTTATGTAAATATATAATTATATTACATTTAAATTTTTAAAATCACAACCACTTCTCATTCTAAAACGTCACCTTTCCTTAGGAACATATTTGCTATTCTTGTGGCCTCTTGAATGTGAGCCACTGGTGCACTATGTCACTTTCATGATCCGTATTATATGTGTTTGGTCTGCAAAAACAGAACTTGAATTTTTTATGCATTCTTTTACCACATATGGATGTTGTAAAGATTAAGTAAAATGATATATGTGCAAGAGAGTACTGCTGTTAAACTTGAGGAAAATTTCATGGGACTTGTTCTAAATTGTGAGGCAATAAATATCCTATTCTTCTCAGCTATAACATAGCAACTACTGACATTAGAAACATCACTCTTAGGCACTATCTACTGGCTGGATTGCCACGACTATGGGATTTGGAAAAGGACTGCTATGGAATGATATCATCCTGACTCCCTGATCTCTAAATGTAACTGTCCAAGAAAAGATTCTCTCTCACAGCTAGACAAAGTCGATTCCCCTCAGTGTCATCAGAGTACATCAATGCATCTTATGATCTGGGGGATCCAAATGGATGATTTACTACTCAAGAGTTTGATGACAAGTCAATATTTTAAAAAATGAATGAAATGGCTGAATTGACAAACAGAAAACATAGGGAAACATTTTCAAGAGTTGGTGTGGTAAGGGGAAAAAAACCATGGCTTTGGTATTGTCCAAAACTGGGTTTGAATTTCAGCACTTAGGAGCTTATGCAAATTTTAGTACCTCTTAGTCTGTTTCCTTCCTCCCTCCCTTTCTTTTTGCAGTACCAGGGATTGAGTCCAGGGCCTCAGCGCATGCCAAACATGTCAATCAAGAGCTCCACCACTGACCCATATATTGGGGCAGCTCTCTGTTTGTTTTCTAACCTACAAAATACTTACATCTATCTAGTAGAGTTGTGACAAATAAATAATATACATAAAGCATGCAAGTGGCATACTCCATGCATAGATGGGCATTTAAACAATGCCTGCTGCTATTCATTAATTCAACAAGCACTCATTAAATATCTTATATACTAGGCACTATACCAAAGCCTGGGTAGGACTTGTAATAGCCAATAGGAATAGGGCAAATCTCAGATCAACAAATAGTAGCTGACTGTCATTATTGCTCAACATCAAAACCTATGGAAAGGTTAATTTGTTATGGTAAAATAACTCGCTGATAACTTAATAATCAGATTAAAGCCCCACCACTACAGAATAACTCTTTAATTTCTTTTTCTTCACAATTTATTTGGTTACCCAAATCTACTTGAAAATGTAAACATTCCTGGGAAGACACAACTTTATGAAACAGACAGAAGATACCTACGCCTAGCTCCAGTGTTGCCTGTCATCTCTAGCATCTCCGATCTTTCTGGTTCCACTACTTACAGCTTTGTAATCTTAGGTGTATCACTTTAGCTCTCAGAGGACAAAGGCTCTCAAACATGTGACAGTTCCCGGGGGATCATCAAAGAGCTATGGGACAATAATTCTATGTGCCTAAATCTCATGCTAGAGTTCAAGGAATACCACGCTGAACAGAACATCAAAGTTCATGCCATCTACTGCAGTTCTAAAGGAAAAGGACAGCCACCAAGGAGGAACAGTATATGTGTAATCATTACATTACAGTGTAAATTCCTATGTCTTTATATACACCTGCTACAAATAATATCACTATCACTCAAAACGATTTCTAAGTTTCACTCACAGATTTAACAATTTCCTATTTTATAACTGGCATATAAAATGATGTAATATACTGTCTAAATTAGTAATAAACACCTTCACATTAGAAAAATTTCATTATTAAAAAAGGCATGTTTTCCTTTAACTCAACATTTAAATATACCAACAAAATTACACTTCATATCATTTTAATACTAGAGTCTCAGATTCATAGTCAAGTCTAGTTTTGACTAAAGAGCAAAACTCTTATATTTTGAGTTTCTAAGTATCAATTATTACCAACTGCCTTCAATTTCTGTCTTTCATGGTCTACACCAAAACCATGACTGCTAATCATATAACAGGTAAACACATGAATAGAGAATGCCAGAAATATTGTTTGGTGACTTGAAAAAGTGTCCACACAGAGTTGTTCACACATTCTAATTAAGTTCTCCTGAAGTTAAGATGGCAAGAATGTGATCTGCAGTAGTGGAGGCAGTTTAAGACAAGGAGAAAAAACTGCCTTGAGATTTAAATAAATTAAAATTACTTTGCCCAAGAAAGTCTGAATATACCTGCCTTAAACAAAAGCCTATTGTTTGTTTCACATCTTGTAAGAATGCAATTACTGTTTAGAGAAGTAATTCTTTTCTGTGAAATCATTGCCTATTGCAGTTATCATCACAATCACCACCCTAGTCCTCTTGTCGAAAGTATAAGTTATCTTCAATCAATCTTGATTTTCTACTACTCTAAGAATTAGGAGAAAAATGGATGGCATCAGCAGGGAGACCAGGCTACATACTGGGTGACTCAAACTGATGTCTTCTAGTGGCCAAGCTCATGTTCTTTCCACCAAGCTGTACCAGCATTCCCAATAATAACAAATCAAAGGTAGGCTTTTGGGATTTGCAAACAGCCAGCATCTCCTTCAAGCTGAGTAAAAATCCTGAGAAACAAATGGAGGCTGACATAATTTTCTCTAATATGTGGACCACTGGGCATTGAATGGATACAATGATTTGTTCCGAGAAGTTGATCTAACGTGTGGTAATATCTCTAAGATATAACCACTAAAAACTACTAGGAACAACTGATGTATGTTACATTTACAGAAATAATAGCTTTAAACAAGTGCATTGTATGTGTCAGGTTTGTATTCTAGGGACATTAACTGCTAGGTATCTGAACTGTTCCACTGTAGTTCCTTCTTGTTGGGCCTGAGCCACCTCAGAATTTTTCTGTGAACACACTGTTCCAGAGAGTCCCTGTCAGTGACTGGCAAAATGAGTGTGACAGATAAAACCTGAGTTGATTATTTGTTATTAACAGTTCTCACATTATTTCATGTTTGTATGCACTGTCTTCTCCAAGTATAGGGTTCCTGCAGTTTAATCATCTCAGAGCATCAACTGCAGTAATACCCAGAATAGAAGCTCGAAGTATTCTGAACATATTTGAGACAAATGGATGGCATTTAGGGGCAAAAAATCTAAAATTAAAAGAAATCCAAGAAACTATTCTTGTTTCTGAATATGATTTAGATCAGGGATCAGTAAAGTTTTTCTCTAAAGAGTTGGACAGTACATATTATAAGCTCTGTGGGCCAATGGTCTATGACCCAACTACTCAACTATGCCATTGACTGAGGTAGGGCAGAAGAAATAAAGATAGGTAAGGAGACAAGGAAAATCAAAACTAAAAAACTGTACTTTTAAGAAGACTGCAACTTCAGGACACAGTCAAAGCCACCCAAGGTTATCCATATCACATTCTCTAAGTTTGTTTTGCTTCTTTTCTTCTAGGCCCTTAAAGATATTTAAAGTCCACAAGTTAGCTTAGTTGATAAAAGGCAGGAACCCAGTCATTTTTTGTTTTTGAGACTTGGTCTCACTATGTAGCCCAGCCTGGCCTTGAACTCCTTGCAGTCCTCTTGCCTCAGCCTCTGGAGTGCTGGGATTACTGAAATCAGATTTTCATATAATTTTTCCATTACAAAATATAATCCATTTTTTTTCCGCCAATGATTTAAAAATACAAAAACTATTCTCAGCCATACATGGTGGCTGGTATAGCCTGTAATCCCAGCACTTTGAGAGGCTGAGGCAGAAAGATAATAAATTTGAACCCAGCTTGGGTAACTTAGCAAGATTCTGTCTCAAAATGAAAAATAAACAAAAGGCTGGGGATAGAGCTCAGTGCAAAGGCTCATTTCTACTGCTGTGCAAATTCTCCAACAACCAACGTGTAAGATGACATTTTTTTCACCTATTTTAGCCAAAATAATATACTACAACAGGTCAAATGCAGAAGAAAATATGAGGATCTGTCTTCTAAGCCAGAAATTGAAGAAAAAGGGTGGGGATACAGCTCAGTGGTTCAATCTCCAGTACTACCGAAAATGAAAAAAGAAAAAATGAGTGTAAGGGAGTATGGGATCAAAAAGTCAGAAAAAGCGGCTGAGCCAGCAGGCAAGCTCACAACTGAGTGCTGGAGGCAGCCGCCTCACCTTGACTTCTCCCACCAGACAGCTTCCTGCCATTTCTTCCATCACATCCTGACTTGATACAATTTAATCCATTGCACTTATGTTTTTCCACAATAAGGTTGGTGAGAATGTCATGGTATTTTCATGAAGGAACTGTTAGTGATACTTCAGCCTTTACTTTGCCAATATAGGCAACTGGAAGCAAGTATCTCCCCTGGGCTTGCATTTTCCAATCTTTAAAAACAAAAAAATTATTATTGTAACTCTTGTCTCAAAACAGATTCATTAGCTTCCTCACTGGCTCATCCCAGTGTACCCAATGACCTGGATCCACAAACACTGTGGGAGCCCAAACTTAACTGGGACCCTTGCAACAGAATTAAGTCTAAGAAATCAACTCCACTGGACATGGAGTAAGTTAACTGATAGCACTCGTAATACTGCATAGAGAATTGCATTTTGCATGCAAGGTATATATATATATCTTACAAGAACATTTTATAAGAGTTTTAATATTTTACATGTTCTGTCATTTAAAATTTAAGAATTTTTCTTTTCCTTTTTTTTTTGTACTGGGGATCAAACTCGGGACCTTTCTCTTGAGAGGCAGGCAGGAGAACCACTGAGCTAAATCCCCAGCTCTTTTCCTTTTTTTAATTTAAGAATTTTAAAAAGAATATTTTAGGGGAAATTAAAGGGAAAGTTCTTTTAATTCCAGTGTTAAAAATATGTGGGGAAACCTTACATAAGGAAGCATTTGTTTTGATATAAATTCACTTTTGTCATTAGATTTAACTATTCAAGTGATGTGAGAAATATTTGTCTCTCTTTCCTTTATATTGTCTCTCTCTCTCACCCTCACCCCCTCCCTTTCTCATTTTAGAGAAAATTAAAGAAACAATAACCATGATTCCAACATGTACTATTTTGTTGAATTGTATGTTTTTAATTATAAAATATTTTCTCAAGAAAATGTTTCCTAAAAGTCTTTATAATTTCTCTTAAGGAACAAAAGCTATGAACAATAATGAAGAAGAAATTTATATTGTTATATTGCTGGACTTCTTCAATCTGTATTAAAACTTTTTTTCCGGAACCTGGGATCGAACTCGGGACCTTGCACTTGCGAGGCAGGCACGGTGCCACTGCACTAAATCCTCGGCCCAATCTGTATTAAAACTACTTTAAAAAACAAGAATTATGACTGGATGCTAAGTCTGTCACAATGTAAATACTGGCTCCAAGTAATTAAATAAAATATACTGGGCTATTTTGACCAATATCAAAACTAAAATTAACTAACATCTTAAGATCAGAAAGCCATTAGCAAATTATTATTTGTTCTGGGGATTATTAGCCATTTGGGGGAATGATGCTGATTACATTAGAAAGATTTTGGTAGCCATGATAGTCAATGAAGAACAAAAATAGAACTTAAACACAAGCAAAATGCTTACTCTCGAAATCTACAGTAAAAACAAAAGTCTCATAATGATTGCAAAACACTGCAAACTGTGAAATAAGTTATTTGCAAAACAGACAAAAAAGTAAAGCAGCTTCCTCAGTCATTTTTTGAGATCTCAGCATCAATTTAAAGAAAATGCTTATATTTAAAAGAAAGCCTATTTCAAAATATGAATCTCTACTCTAAGTACATAGTAAGGGCATGAAATGAATTTCTGTCTCATATCACAAAATATTCTTACTCCATGTGTATGTAAATGAAGGTGATGGTAGACTAAATTTTAAAAGAGTTAACTGCCTCACTATTCAACTTTTTAAGGAAGAAAAGAACTCTAATCATGAAAGACAGACTCTAGAACTAAATATATGCTGCCATAAACGATCCATTTACATGACATGACCACATGGATCACAAGGGAAAAGGATGTGCACACTTCACTGTGCAGGACAGAGATGCTACGACTGGCAAATTCTATCCACAAATATTTTTGTACACTAAATTATTTCCCCACTCTCATTTTTAAGTCAAGATTATGTCCATTAAAAAATCTAAGTGTAATAGTTTATTAAGGAGGCAATAGGGCTGGGGATTTAGCTCAGTGGTTCCATTGCCTGCCCCACAAGTGCAAGGACCTGAGTTCGATCCCCGCTACCAAAAAAAAAAAAAGAGAGAGAAGGCAACAAATTTAATAATTACATGGAATTTATACTACTACAAAGATAAACCATCAAGTGCCTGCCTGGCAAGCACAAGGTCCTGAGTATGATCCCTGGTACCAAATGGGGGAGGGGGAGATAAACCATCAAGGGGATTTTGGTTTCTCTTCGAGAAAACAAACAAACCAACCAACTGAGAAAACCGCTACTACTACTCCAAATCAAGCTTTTTAAAGTCTGAAAAAGCCATTATTATTTTAATAAAACAGTTTTGGTTTTATATTGTTTTCCCAATTTCCCTCCCCAGTAGTGGGACATTATATGTAACTTTCCTTAGGTGCTAGGAAATTTTCTTACCATTTTGTGGGAACTGCTGGCTATCAGAAATGGTAGGAGATTAGAACCAAAAGTTAGACAAAATATGGAATTGCAACAATAATAAAAAGCAACTTAAGAAGATCAAGCCAAGCAGATAAGCAACCTCTTTAGCATAAGTTTTCTGGGACTAAGTCAGTTCCCTGATTTCAAAAAGCCAAAGCAAAGCAAAGCATGCTGACTTACATTGCTTCTTTAGTTCTTTCAACTGTTGTTTAAATTGCACAAATTTTTCATTATTTTGAAAGTCTGCATCAGAATTCTTACTCTGTAAAGCCAAAAATTTCTCCTCCACTAATAATTTTAAGTCGGGTATTTTGTCTGGCTGTTCTTCTTTTACCTACAGAAGACAACAAAATCTCAGTTAAATGACAGTAATAGTGTAATTAAGATTTTACGTTGTTTTTATCTCATATAATTTAAACAGAAAGATGATGACAGAGGAGAAAGAATCCTCCACACAGAAGACAGGACTGTTGGTAAGGAGTGGAGGAAATCATTCATTCCATCTACTCATCCTGCTTTCCCTTTCTTAAACTTTACAGCCCATCAGTGCTCCTGCTAATGTACAGTCTCCCGATGACTACAAGGGAAAATCGCAGAAGGAGACAACTTCACCAGAACCTGAGCACCACTATTTCCTCCTTAGCCCAGTTCTGCTCAGCCCCCTCTCACTTGCCACAGAGATTATTCTATCCTTTCATTCTCAATGTTTCTGTTCTGGTTCTTGGTCTCAGCAGGTGACAGTGACTCCTACTTTACCACAGAAGAAAGGCTTCACCATGTTCCCGCCAGCTTGAACCACTGGTGGTACGTGCATGACTGTCCCAAGGGGTGGTCTGTAGCACCTGCGGTACAAACAGATCTAAGCACTTTTATTGATCTCTTTTTTTTTTTTTGGTACCAGGGATCGAACTCAGGTCTTTGCGCTTGTGCAGCAGGCAGCGAAACCACTCAGCTAAATCCCCAGCCCCTATTGGTCTTTTTACTAATGAAATTAATAAAATGCTGCCCCATGGGACAGTCATGCATGTACCACACTGGTGGTTCAAGCTGTCCAGCAGCAAGACATATGCATTACAGCCCACTGTGAACATGTTAACCTGGACCTTGCATAATTTCCTGCCATAAAAACAAGCTCAAGACTAAACTCTCAATCTGTGTTCTTCTTCCTCTCAATGTTACAAAATAATTCCAGTATCGTAAAATTTTCAAACATAGAGAAAAATGGAAGGAACTGTACTGTAAACACTTTCTATTAGCCACAACTAGTATTTTGCTGTGTTTAAATTTCACATGTCTACCCATTCATCTATCCCTCTGTGTTTCCTCACCCTAAGTTTGTTCATTACATCTTTATCTCTTCTAGAACAAACATTCCCTCTCTAATGCTCTTTCTCCAAAAACATTTACACTGGCTCTTCACTCCCATATTTAAAAAATCAACTCTTATATTCTCGTTCCCTCCTCCATTATTTTCTGTTTATATTCTAGCTCCTTGGGAAAAAGTGGAGCCATTGTTTCTACTTCCTCTTCCACAAGCTTAGCCATGACAAGCAAGCTGCTGCCTCATCACTGCACTGCAGCTGCTCTCCTCGGGCCTTCGTTATTGGTCCCTCTCCCTCTCTTTATTTGTTTATTTAGTGTGTGTGGTGCTATAGACTGAACCCAGGGTCTTGAACACTCAGGCAACCGCTCTACCAATGAACTGTGCCCTCAGCTTCACACTTGCCCCCTTTCACCACAGGCCTTTCCCAAAGCTCCTGCCACCAAACTGGCCACTACGCCCTAAAATGCCTTAAATAAACTTCTCCAACAGCCACAATAATATTCAACTACTCTAATTTTTATGACTTTTCCCCAATAAGATGTAAATTCTGAAGGATGTCCAACTTATCACTATATTGCCAGTATCTGGAACATACCAGGTAATGTATAATGTATTTCAAACAAATTAACCTTATTAGGGCCAAATGTACTTAACTCCCTAAGAGCCATAATTTATTAGTTATCATTATTAGTAGTAGCATATGTAATTTCTGGGCTGGAAGACAACTTAGAGATCATCTAATCTTGACCTCCTCCTTCCTCAGTTTCAGAAATAAACAGAATGATACAGAAAAAATTAAACGATTTCTATCAAGCTATTAGTTACAGGTTATGTTAAGACTACAAACAGGTACAGAAAATTCTTGAATTTGATTCTTGTCAGTAGGATATATTTCTAACCTCTCTGAATCTATCAATGCATATGAGATCAAAAAGACTGTTTACACCTTATCTGTTTGAATTACCTTTTGTCATGGGGAAAATTATAATTTTCATTTGCCTAATTGCTATGCTTTCTGATTAGCAAAACAAAAATGAAAATTGCAGGACAGAGTACAGGAACTGTCTCCTTGTGTGAATAACACTCAATCACTCCTGAATTCACTATCAAAGGCAGTTGTGAAAAACCTGATGGGTTTTATGACAAGTCTTATACATAATTAAAAATTTTACGTTAAGTCTGTAGGTTAAAGAACCAATAAAGTGCAATTTAGAAAAAAAAGTAGAAAGGCAATTTAATAATGCCTATGAATGAGCTCTTAAACATGGTAACTAGCTCTGCTCCTCTACCTCTACATGACAGAACAAGAAGAGACAAGTTCAAAATTGTAGCATGAAGAGTAAAGAGGAAATCTAGAAAATAAATTGCTGGTTCTTTAAAAAGTATTACAGGCTCTCTTTCTGGATTCCAAGATGGACTCACATCCACCTAGCAATACAGGAAGGCAATCAGTTGAACCTTGTCAACCTCTGGCCAGTCTGAGATTGTTATGTCATCTGGGATGATTAAAAAGATCTGAACTGATAAGTAAAATTCAAACGTTCTTTTTCAACAAAGTCTCTAAGACACTCAACAAATTTAATTCCCTTAGTTCAACAACCACCACTACAGAGGAGACTGACAAAGACTGGGTGGGGGTGGCGGTTAAGGACAGAGGAGATAACCATTTTAAGGTTGACAACATGTCAGTGTGAAACGGGACTAGGAAATCTTGAATAAACCAAATCCAGTGATTCAGTGTATTTTTTTCTATAGCCAGAACCTCCAGAAAGGTGCTATAAAACAGCACATAAATTCTCTGCAAGTTTGAAGTTGCAGTTGGCATAGTTTTCCTTGGCCATGGGAACTTACTGTACTCTAGCTATCAAAATGGCAGCATGAAAAAACATTTAACTCATTATCTCTTTAAATCAATGCGATAAACGGGGGATAAATTATTTTAAAATAAATGGATGGGGGCTCTTTGAGTAGCTCTTCATGCAATTTTCTAGTATGAGAAACTAAGGATGGACCTATTTTCTCAGAACAAATTTCAAATACCTCAAAGAAATATGAGACAGGAGGAGAGGATCTGTTAGGTCACTAGGTCCACCCTTTTCCCAAGGATAAAGTGCCTAGATACAGGATTTAAAACTGTAGTGAATTAAAACACATTACCTTTGTTAGGTTTGCTGAAGCTGCATAACAAAGTACTATAAATTAGGTGGCTTAAACAGAAATATATTTCCTCACAGTTCTGCAGTCAAGAAACCCAAGATTGGGGTGGTGGCAAGATCAGTTCCTCCTGTGGTGTCTCTCCTTGGCTTTTTCCATCCTCACATGCTCTTCCCACTGCATATATCTGTGTTCTACTCTCAATGACACCAATTATATTGGATTAAACTCCACTTAATGACTTCTTTTTAATTATTAACCTCTTTAAAGACCCTATTTCCATATACAGTCATATTCTAAGATACTGGGTGTTAGAACCTGGAGGAACACAATTCATCCCATATACCGGGGTAAGGAAAATTAGAATTTTAAAAACAGCTACAGGTTATAATCTTTACATCATTACAACTTAAAAATGAGAGAAGCCATTGGGAAATAAACAGTAGACAAAATTTACAGAATGAAAATGTAATTCTGCCCTTGAGAGGGAAAAAGTCAGGATTTTCTGCACCACTCACTCACCCATCCAATATTCACCAAGTGACCTCTTGGCTCAGCACTGTAGCTACAGGGACAGAGGAGCAGGTGGTGGGCAACTTTGGTAGCCAGCCAATGGAACGGAGACTGACCTCACAGGCAGTGGAGAAGGAATAAAGTAATAATACCACAAAAACTGTAAAAATGAATACACACACACTATAGTTGCCTGGAGGGTGCATTAGAGACAGGGAAGAAAAGGACATCACTGCTATAGTTAGGCAAAGACTGTGTGGCTGGCAACTTGATCAGGCTTCAGTGCTTTTTGTGCACTTACTTGATGTTTTCTTTTTCAACATTTATTTACCGAGTCTTTTTTTTTTTGGTGAGAGAAACACTAGGTTTGATAATGCTTCCAAAATATTAATGTGGCTAACTAGCTAAATGCTATTTTCTTGAGGAAAGCAGCAGGTATTGCTGAAACCCTACAATATCTTTTGTTTTTGTTTTTTGAGACAGAGTCTCCCTAGGTAGCTCAGGTTAACCTTGAACACCCTATGTAGCATTGGCTGACCTCAAACTCATGGCAATCCTCCTGGCTCAGCCTCCCAGGTGCTGGAATGATAGGCCTGTGCCACCACACTCTTGCTGAAACCTTACAATATCTAAGCAGAGATAATCTAGTATGCAGGAGGAAAGATTTAAAATGAGGGAATAGGAAGTAAAAGAAAGATGCAAAAAGAATTTTAAAAGGTAAAAAAGAAAATCAGGAGTGAGGATTGCTATAAAAGAAAGAGAAAATTTTGTAAAGAGAGGAACTTGTCTTTTGGGGAAAATGAATCGAGAAAGCTCAAATAAGAAAAGGATTAATGAAGCACTGGGTCTAATTACTAGACCTTCTGCACAATGCGCTGCAACTACTGATGTCACAACCCGCCAGCCAGTGGGCCTTCTTTCAGGCCAGGGTTACTTCCTAGGTGCCTGGGATGATGCCTGCTGCCCACCATGTGCTAAGACAATGCCGATGCCTGAGTGAATCACAGGAGGCCCAGTGACAGAGTTTTGTGAAAACAAATGAGAAAAGTTTGGTGGCAAAGGAAGAACAGAGAGATGTGATAACAGTAGCTTAAAGTGAAATCGATATGAAGTAAAACAAAACATGGACCTTGGGATCAGACAGATCTGGGTCTACCCTGGGTTGTAGATTTTGGGCCAGTTCTTCCAGAAATCCTTGTATTTTTCTATCTCTTAATAGGAACACCCACTTCGGTGCCGGGAAGACATAACTAAATTAATTTGTGATAACTTTGGCAAATAGCAGATGATAAAAAAAATAATTCCTTTCAAACCTCAACACAGAGGCTTTAAAATATTTGTGG